ATAACTTACTACACCAATACCACAGAATTCTACTATAATTTATTAAATTTAGTAACTAAGCTGTATTTGGGTCTAAAAAATTATGAAATTTCAAGCAGACTAAAGACCCAACCTACCTCATAGAAATCTTGATGTAAAAGAAAGAAATGATGCTAGGTACATTACAAAGTCTTAGAAAATAACTAGGGGGACATTCTGAACTTCAGATTTGTTATTCATGTCATATATAGAAGTAAGTGTTTATAAGGGAGCATTTCCAAAAATGGAAGGTTGTGGGTGGGGTGCCACTATGTTTGATTTATAATGTGAGCAATATTTTATATTCTAGCTTGTCAGTATCTATAACTTGAGTTTCTAATTCGTATGAAACTATAGATTTAATATTTTGACTTCACAAACATCTAATTTGAACCAGTGCTGCATTCAACATACTACGTTCTGTGTTTTTTAATATTTACTTCTAAGCTAACAAATTGAGTAATGTATAGTTCTATAACTTGAATTATAATCCACAGTTTGATACCAAACTTATTGACATAAATTCATGAAATAGTAGTTCAATAAAATTTTGAGTCAACAAACGAGATGACAAGGCAATTCAACTGTAAGCATTATATTTCTTGTTTTTCATGAATGTTTTTTATTTATTGTTATAAAGTAATAAAAAAAGAAAAAATTAGAAACTTATTAGGTTAAATAATGAAAAAAAAAAACTTCAAGAGGTATGCTTGCAAGCAACTCGTGCTTTTGTCATTCAACACTGGGGTAGAGAAAATAAATAAAATGTGGATTTACAAAAAATTTTATATTTATTTAGGTTTTAGGAGTTATGCAAATAAAATATGAACTTGTTCAGGTGAAAAAAAGTATTTTAAATCTTAACATAATAATCACTTTACACATGGAACAGTCAACAATCTGACTTCATATATTTACTGGCAAAATCATTAGTAAATACACTTATAAATCTGATTTTTTTGTTTATAAACAATAATGTTTATTGAAAGCTTATTCAATTTCATAAAGGTACATAAAACATGTTAAAAATTATATTATGGAACCTGATGGTTACTTTGTGGTTACAAGGTCAGTCACATTGACCAACACCATAAGAAAAAGAGTTAATGTATATTAAAAAATATATATATTTGCTTCCTAAGCCTATTACACACACACATCTATCACTATACATAATATCCAAATGATCCTACAAATCCTGGTGAAAATGTGATGAAAACTGTAAGAGTATAATTCGAACAAATTTTAAGTAAATAGACATACAACACAGAAGTGAGATAAGGATCAACAGAAATAGCTTTTTAATGATAGTTTAAAATTAATATAAAATCCAAATGTTCATGTCGGAGCACCATAATTTTGCTTAAAATATTTTGCTCAACAAAGTTTATCTTTTAATAAAATGCTAATATTTGAAATAACTTACAAGACTACATTGTAGGCAGTACACAAAGGTAATAGCATTATCTAACTTTCTTCTAAGTGGTTTATCACTTTTTCCCATATAATTAAATGCAAGGTGGGCAAATTCATATTATTAATTTAAGTGGGCAGTTTAATCAGTGATACATGTCAATTTTATAACTATAACTGCTGTTTTCTCAATGAGTAGAAAGGTAGGTGTTACTCTGTCAAGGAGAAATCATTAGCAGTGACTGTACATGTAAAACTCTCCATAAACAGTTGAAGATCGGTGAAGAGGAATTGACAGTGGTGGCAGAAGAGAAGCAAGAGCATCAAAAGGAACAGGCAGCCAACAGACCAGCGTCAACGCACATATGTGACCTCTGCAACCGGGACTGTCACTTTCATGTCGGTCTCCTTAGTCACAAGAGACGCTGCTCTACATGAGCGATCAACATGAGCTAATAATGGAACGGATGCTCATCCATGGTCAAACCTGGCCAAAGGAGGCCTACCAACATGTAAATTAGTCAAAGGTACAATTTTAAATATTCAAACTAGAAAAAAATAAAACATTTTCTACAGCATGCTTTTAAAGAATGTATACTTGAGTACTGTATATACATTGTATCTGCAGTAGGTTTGATGTCATTAAATTGTTCTGTATGTGTATATTTACATAGAAATTTCATTACAATGAAGCTACTTTACAACACAGATAAGATAGCAGTCCTAAAACTTGCATTTTAATGAACAAACACTGTGCTTAACAGACGAGAAAAAATCCATTTTTTCAATTTTTTCCATTCAATCAGTATACTGTTTAATTCCATAGTTTTTAAGGATTTTGATGTCTTGTCAAACAATATGTTTGGGGCAAAAACAAAAGTCACTTTTGAACAAATTCTAAGTCATAAAGATGGAAATAATTAGAAACAAGGATAAGGAATATTCCTATGGGAACTACAGGGCCCAATCACTGTTAGGAGAATGTTTCTGACACAGTTTCACCACCTCCAGTAGCTTGTACCTTCAAAAGATAAGAAAGAAAAAAGAAAAAAAACAAGTACTTGATATGTTTTTTTTATACTATCTTCAGTAAAGGAAATGATGAAATGTTATATATCAGATCATATGACATGTTTTTAGTAATTCTCTGTCAACAGTGTATTTTAAGCATCACTGAAGTTATGCATTTTTATTAAGCAGTTTTCAGACTGGTTGCTATTTGCTATATGACAATTTTTTTAAAGATTTTTTGCAGTGTGACTAGCAGTTTAGTCAAAATGTGGTCATTGTGAAAATAGTCATTTGGGACCCACTCTTACCTGTGCTGCACTTTATAAACTTAAGCAATTACCTTTTCCTTATAGTTTCTGATACTTCTATTTCGACTACCATTGCTTATAGACTATGACAGCCAGTCAAAGAAACAGTCTTGGATAACTGTTTCTGCTAAATAGATACCTGTTTACATGAGTTGATGTTATTACTTAGTGTTGGTTGATCATTGAAAATGTTAAGGCTTTCTTTAATAGTAAATTTAAAATTTATTGTTCCAGTCAAGGATTTTAAAATTTTAAAGCAGGATGAGTTGGCTATTATTCTCACTATGCAATCAGATACAAGACTCGGGTGGATTTGTTAGTTTATATCTACTACCAGCTGAAGTTCCCATATGTTCACGTACGTGTATTTGTAGGTGATGTATAGTTTCATCAAAATAAGTAGTTTCACAGCTACCACAAGTACAGTTATAAATTACACAAACACAGAAGGTTGGGGAGTATTAAGTTTTCAGCTAGTTTTGAATTATTAAATGTTGGCTTAGTTTGCAGGTAATATGACTTAATTATTCTTTCAATTTGAGATTTGAGTTTAAAAGTTTGTTTGCTCGTGAAAGGAGTGATAAGAACTAACAAGTATCTCGGGCAGTTTGTGGCTTCTTGGTGGGTTCTATTTTATTTGTTAAAAAAATGTTCATGTGATAGTTTAAGAAATTATGTTATGAATTTTGGAAATTTCAGTGTGGAGACATAATTAGTCAGAAAAGATATTATATGTTCTCTTTAGGAGATTTAAAACAGGACCATTTGATAGAATGTGGTATGAAACTGTAGAAACCAATATAAGATCATTAATCAACCTTAGTTTTTAACCAATTATATAATGAGAACAGCAGCCATCCCATCTTTCTTGAAAACTTTAAAATTCTCAACTCTGGAACATCAGATTACATATTTTTAATTAAATAAAGCCTTTACATTTTAACAATCATCTCATACTAAATAACAACCACAATTCATCTCTTCTATAATTAATCTAATAATTTCCCAATTTCAACTTGTTTTATTTTTAAAGATGCAGTGGTTTATACTTATATTTTAGCCATTCTTTATAACTTTTTCTCTTAATGATATTATTAAACATATATATTCTTCCTTAATAGCTATTGTTGCTTTTTGTAGTTATAATATTGTAAATTAACTTTTTGAAGTTTTACTGCTGATGATGGAATTTAAAATGATATTCTTGGAAAGTATTGTTGTTTTACAGCTCCAAGCAGCATGACTCACTGGGAAAAAAACCAGTGTAACTCAAACCTTTCTTTATACTGGTACAGCAAAAAAATAACCTTTCTACAGTTGAAGTTTCAAAAATGAAAAAAAAAGCTAACACTATTCAGTTTTCAAAGCACTAAAATACAAGTGATGGTAGCTTAATAAAACTCTGAAAGCATATAAAATATTAAGCCCAATTAAACATATATTAATTCAACACAAGCTCTTTCAGAAAGCAATCTCTGTATACTTTTTTTAATTTGAGAATTTTCTTCTTTTAGGTTTTTACTCTTTATTTTTAGCTTTTATTTTAGTGATCATGTATGGTGATGACTCATTCAGAATGATGTGTGGAATTTGGTCTCCTTATTCTAGGAAAGACTTAAGTATGCTAAAAATTATGAGTTATAATTTGAGAAATTTAAACTGTGAAGAAAAGGACTGGAATTTCTAAAAGAATAAAAAAAGAGGTAATACAGATATTATAATTTTCTTTATAGTTTAGATACTACTTATAGAAGGTCTGGTTGAGTGTGGAAAGATGGTGTAATAAAATGGAACTTGGGTTTTATGGGCAATAGTAGCTATTGAATCAAAGATCCAAGGAGCTTTTTCAGCAGAATCACATGTACTTCTGTGTACATTACAAACTGGTGGAATGGTTTGCTTAATCATGTAGTGTTCTGTTATAATAAATTTATTTATAACTGCTGTTGGATATGCTAATGATTGCAAAAAAAGTACATTTAGTGTGGGTTGATTGCTTTGTTTTATTTTTTCAATTTTTCAGACGGGTGAACTCAAAGTGCTGAATGACCTTTCATCACCTTATGTCCTATGTTGTTAACTGTATACCTCAGGCATTTTCAACAATATATCCTTTTAAGGCTTTATTTTTTGTCCTTTAACCCATTCACTGTATATTTCCCAGTGCTCCCACCCCCCTCACATTGTGACTGGGACAAATGTTACCCATTGTCGATGTTGTTTAAGCCGTCCTCTACAAAGTCCAGATTCATCATCTTGACTATCATCATTAGATGGACAGCTAGGATCCTCTTGTCTTATTGTCTCTTCATCATCACACATTTGAAAATCACTTAACTCACTTTCACTATCTTCTAAACTATCTGAGTCAAGCATATTTACATAGTAATTAGGGTTACTACTTGCCACTCTAGCATTGCAGGCATGGTCAGCACGCAGTTGTTATACTTTCCACTTAGGCATCTTGTTGATTACTGAAGAGTTGAGTGGGAAACATTGAAGGAAACTATATATCAACATTAGGTGGGATGCCAATAAATACTTTCCAACTCATTTTACTCCCATATGTCATGCACAGCAATTTTGAATGACAATGGGAAACATTTGTCTCAGTTGCAGTGTGAGGGAGTGGGAGCACTGGAAAATATGTTCCAGCCACAATAAAATGGTTAAAATATCCCCCCCCCCCACTTCTATTCTCTTCTTGCTCCACACCTAAAATCAATGCAGTACTCAGTTACTGGATGTAGCAGATATAGTAATTTACATAATACATTTTCTCTGCTTTCACTCACGAGTTCTTAGAAATATCCATCACACGTTAAGGCACATTACATATAACATGCACACTTTCATACTGGCAGGGTAAGCTACCAAATCAATCCATCACATCAGTGAAAATTACAAACACTGCTTTTTTCATCCACATGTTACCACCAATAAAAATTCATCTTCAATAACCTGTCAAGGGTTTTTATTTTACTATAAATCTTATTAATGTATTTCAGAAAAACTATAAACTAGAAAGTTATACATTCTAAATTACAGCTTGATTGGTTTAAAATTTTCCAATTAATAATAATAATAATCATATATATACAACATTTTTCTATTTATATATACACATGTTTCTGGCTTGAAAATAAAATACAAACAGTTGTCTTAAAGTGATTTATCTCCAAAAGTATAATCATGTGTGTGTTGTGTATACTGATGTGATGTGTGGATGCTGTTCAAAGGTGCAGCACATGTATGTCCACAAACATGATCTGGTTGTACTCTCCATAGTGTTCATCTCATTCTGCATACTTTCAACTAGATCTTGAACAACTTTACAGTGCTTTATTTTTTCTACTCTTTCAGTACACAAGTGTAATAATACAAAAACTTTAAGCTGAAGGAAGAAAATGTTATGCTGCAGAAGAAATGTAAAAGATTGTTATTAACATTCTAATAATTAATTTTATAAAAAGATGAAAATAAATTTCTAAGTTAGAATTTGTTTCATGATTTAAGAAGTGTTATTCAAAACATTACTTCTGCTATTCACATTTAATTCTACACCATAAGAAAACAAATACTAAAGCAACAAGGTTTCAAATTCAATTATATATGCCCTGATATCATATAAAACTAAAGAATTAAAAATAAAATACCAAGAAAAACTACTATATGTAGATGAAAAATGGAAACACGCACTCACCAACATAAAAGAAACCTGCTTCTGCTAAAACTTTAGGTTGCACAATGGCATCTTCTGGCCACATGGCAAATGATCTCAATCTTGCTGATAAACTTGCCTGAGACAGATGTTTAGGTCCCCTATGAACACTTATACCAAGCTTTTCTAGTTTAAGATGTTTCTGTTTCACATTTAAAAGTTTAGGATCCACCACATCTTGTAAACCTTCACTCATGCTTGCTTTGTAGTTTCCACATACATCTTGTCCATTTGAAGAATAAGAAGACCTAGAGTTTGAAATCCTTTTATCTTGACACCCCTTTTCAAACACAAATGAACAACATGGAAAATGACGAACATGCTCTTTCAGAGGATCATCTCCTTCTTCCCAACTAGACACAATGCCTTGACAAAATGGACATTGTACTTTATCACTAATTCCTACGTAAAAAAATCCTGCATTTGCCAAATCTTCAGGCTTTATAAATGATAATGGCCAACCATTCTGAAATGTTTCCAGCCTTTTGCTCTCAACTTTCATATCCTTTAAGGAGAAAGAAGCATTTAGATTTAATGTGCAATTACTTACACTTTGAGAGCTATTTAAATCTGATACATTTGGATGGTCATTTTGTTGTGAAACATGACAAAATCTATTCTGTTGTGAAATATGATTTACGCAATTTTTATATGGATCATACTGATGACCATTTTGAAGAGAAACATCATTTACAACTATCTGCTGCAGTCCACCATTTGGTTTGGAAACATGAATTCCATTTTTTAGTTTGAGTTGTTCAATGTGTTTTTCTTTGGAAGAAATACATACTGATACTCCAGAGGATTCTATGTTCCCAGGCTCATTTTGGTAGTATTTGGGTTGGGTCTTTGAGGCAGACAAATCAGAACTACGAGTTTGTTGACTACTGAGCAGAGAGAAATTTGCTGAAGTGCATAATACAAACGTACAGCATGGAGAAGCCTGATGATGTTTTGAAGCAGGTGAGTCACTGAAGTCCCAGTGTTTCAAATGTAGTCCACAACTAAAACAAACAACTTCATCCTCACGACCTGAGTAATAAAATCCTGCTTTTGCTAAAGAGAATTTATCTACTGGTGAATTGTCTGGCCAGATGTCAAAGGTATCAAGACGATCTTGTTCATGGCTAAAGTATTTTCCACCATATCCTTTATTCAACACAGGTGCATCAACTATGTCAGTTTGAAATTGAACAGATGTCATTGCTTTTGTTTGCCAATAACTTCTTTGAGAAAGGTATTCCCAAGGTTTCTTGAAAGCTATTTTGAAATAAGAAATAATGATTTCAATATAAGCAATATAATGCAAATTAACACAAACAATACAAGTTGTACAAATTAGTGTTTGACTTACAAAATGTTTTTCTTAATCAAATAAGCAGGAAACTAGCCCACATAAAGAAAATATTCTACACTAACAATGTTGGTGCCAGGGTTCGTGGCATCACTGCAGTGGCTACTCTACCTCATTGCTAAAGCACTTATCTAGAGCCCATAAATGTTTTTCTCAGCTTAGGAATGTAGTGGTCCTGCAATAGGTGTGCCCACTTCTGGTTGCACTTCCACAAGGTGGTTACATACTCACCTACTGAACATCTAATAGCCAGCTCCCAATGTTTAGCAGTCCACTGGGACTCCTTTTGCCTATGGGCTGAAGATGATGTTGGAGACATCCTGAGTCTTTGGGCCACCTGCAGGCTTGGCTTTGGCAGTGGTATTGAGACAGCTGTCTCCTACTTCATTCCTACTGACCATTTCACAGTCAATGGGGACTACACATCTTGAGGCCTTAGGGCTAGTACAAATACCAACACAGTGAGGTCCTGCATCATTTGCATCTGCAAGTAATACATCTTCAATCATGGGCTCAGTACACTGAACATCAGGTCAACACTAGGAGTCCTAAGATTGGTTACATAAGAAATCTCATCACCAAACAAAGTCTTGGACATATTAATGTTTAACTTCCTCATATTGCAGCATAAGAAGAAATGTGAAGCTTCAGCACAAAAGAATAAAACAACACTAATAGCTCACTGAAGAACAATATAGCCAAAATGGTCAACAATTTGATCTTAAATAGTAAAAGTTTGGAATAAAAATGCAAATTCAGATAAAATCCAATTGGTCAGAAGGTCAGTTAGATGTTTAGGTTGAATAGGGTCATAAAAGCCCAATTACAACCATTACTCCCCTCTAAAAACTACCTCCAGATGCAAGTAATCAACAGATTACCATGGTTGGGCAGCATTTCTGTAAGTCTGACACATGTTCATGCTCTAATCACCCATAGACATGTATTTCTAGCACCTGTGAACTCAGTACACAGGCTTCACTGGGTCTCAATTTAACCATTAACTCAAAAGCCATAGTCATGTTAGCATTTCTGTGTTAACAGAAAACACATCTTACTTTCAACTCAGATTCCTTCATTCCACTAGTCTGGTTGTTACATAAACCAAACCCAGATTAAGTAGAAAAAAAATGGGGTTAGGACAGCAAAATTGGTTCATACACACAAGTTTGCTTGGGTTAGGTGATGCCAACCCATACATTTGATTGTTAGAATCCACTAACATTTATGCTGTATTTATGCTTTATGGGCTTTCTTCCACTTACAATTCTAATTATAGCTTTGGTGTGATTTAAAACATTTCACCACATAGGTGTTATTTTCCACCTCGACTTAGTATATTCACTACCTGAATTTTTATGCATCTTGTACTGAAACAATTTAAAGAAAATATTTAGAAAACTGTGTGCTTTACTAAATATTTCAGTCTGCATTACTGAAAATATTTATTACAATCAAGTTTGTATTTATTATGATATCTGAGCTACTGTCTGTGAATTTTAGTTACTACCAATAATTAGACCCACTCATGAATATTTCAATTCAATACAATGCATTACAATAACCAAAACACCAAACTGTTTTCTCTAAGATGTATTAAGAGTTTCTTCATTATTCTTATCCTTCCATGAATTTTCACTACCTGCCAAATATTTCAAAATCAAAATTGAAACATTCTTCCACCGGCATTAATGAAAATAATAGGTGCATTTTAACTTCAAATAATACATTCTAAGTCAGTAATCACAGCTAACCTCATATCACAAAATCTTAACATCCAGATCAAATCCTTTATACCCATTCTTATGTGGCTTAATAGTTGTGTTTTTTGTGTAACTGAACAATTTATGTTATTCAACATTCATGAATGACTTCATATAATGTTCCTCCACACATGTGGGACCACACCCATTTATTTGTACATATATACTGTTATATATGCGTCTTTATTAAACGTTATCACATAAACCAATAGCTTACAACAAACCACCTTTGGCTCTCACACAAACTACTCCATAACTATCTTGAGTTACTTTCTGAAACTACTACTCAGTAGCCATGGTTTATAAGCTGTCAAACTGAATAATTAATTTCTTTTGAGACATCATAAAATAAGTAATCACAGACAAAATTCAGCTGAACTGAAACTTTCCAGCTAAAACTCTCACAGCTCAGAATTAATATTTGTGCTGTTAATATATAAATGTGTATTTTTACACACACACATATATATATATATATATAAATCACTACACACATTGATGAAACAAAACTCCCTCACTGTACATGGAGAAAGTACACACCCTTAAACTGCACAAGAATAGATCTAGTAAGGACAACACAGTATTTTCTATAGAACTCAACATTCAGCTAGATAAGGTGAGTGATTCTCAGCTTTTGCCTCAGAAAATCACTCAACAGCTTGGAATGCAAGGGTAAAAAAGCCCTTTTTGTTGGGTCTTCAAACTTCTAGGCCATCATTTTGTCATGCAAATTAGTAATGATCTATATATTACACCTAATAAAATCAGCTGCCCAGGCTGTGTCAATTGAGCAGCTATCACCCGACATCCTACAGATATCTCTTACAGTGAAACTCTGCTCAATAGCTTATAAAGTAAGGTTCACAAAGTCTTTTGGTCTTGTTAATCTTGTGATCAACAAACTGTCCTAACTTCAAGTAATCAAGTTGTAACCATACACTAATGTATGTAAATTTTATCTTACAACAGCTCAAAAAGCAATGACTGCAACATCCTTTCAACTGAGTTTTTAAACTCGTACCTATCGTCATCAGTATTGTAAAGTGTTAATTCACTAGTCATTATATCTACTAGCTTTAGTTTCCAAATTATCATGGCAATCAATTGAAAATCACAAAATGTAGTAAATACATCGTATGGTGAACATCACTTCATGGTAATTAACTGGAAATCATAAAATGTTTTTCATACATTGTATGGGGACATCGATTTGGTAGCTTGGAATGCAAGAATTGCTACTTGCTTTGAGTTAATGATCAGTTTATATCCTACCTCTCTTACTCAAACTTAATTCCAGCCATACTTATTGGGAGATCATTGTAAGCAGGTCTGTAGACTGCCAGAACCTGTTTCTCACCTCTATATCAAACACTTCCATGTCCAACTCATCCTAAAAAGCCAGGTATGTTTTAACTCTTTCCTCCTCATTTTCAGAGTCACAGTAGTATAAAGCAGTTTTCATACTCATTTGATAATTACTTCCTTTTCTGACTCTTGGTAAGCCAGTTCACCAGAGGTTTATAAGTCATATAACCAACACAGGTGGTCAGCATGTTCTACACACTTTTGCGCACCTTTTGACTGCTATAACTTGTATGTCAAAGGAACGATTCATTGGAACACAAGGTTAGGTCCTGTCTAGCTAGTTCCAAGAGGCTTCCATGCTGACGTCACATCCAGTCACCACCTTGGTACATTTGTTCCTTCAATGACTTATTGTATCACCTCAAGAGGTATTATGGCCTTTCCTAATTGTTCACATGCATGTGAACTAACACAGATGTTAACCACCCTTCATATTCTTGTAGGCACTGTAGAATATCCACTCTAAGTAGTGGATCATACAATGTGTATACAGGAGCAAAACATTTATTGGCCAAACATGATCACATTCTGTGAACAACCTGCGAGTTCCTTTCAACTGCCTGGTATACCAACAAGATACAAGTTTAGTGTTTGTCCAAGCTGGTTTCATTTGAGGATAACAAATTTAGAAAGTGTACACTTGACAATTTGTATCAACCACTCCACTAAATGATCAATATGGGGGGTGATATGGCAAGATTTGCATTTTCATTATACAATATACTTCACACAAGAATCAGCTGTTAACATTAGCTCCCTGATTCACGTACATCTCATGTTGCTCTGAAACTGGTCATCTAGTGCTTTATCAGCCCATCAGACTCTGTGGTTTTATCAACCTACAGATAAGCCTAGACTCATTTCATGAAGTTGCCAATGGTTATGATATACAAAAGCAACTCAGCTTCATCTTTGGCAGTAGATAAGTGATATCCAAGAATATTCTCTGAAGAAGATAACAACAACCATTTTCTGGAGTTTATCCTGTTCAAGCTGGCTTTTTCTATGAGTGGCACGCACTATAAAGCATTCACCCCAGCAGTGAACATTTCAACTTGAATGCAACCAGAAAAACTGCCTTCACACATTAGCACAAGTATCTTTAACATTTGGTGTCCTCCATTCTTTGTATTACACAGTATCAAGAATTTCATACCTCAAAACTTTGGGAACCACTAGCTTTAACATAGGTTGAGATCCACTGCCTGGTGGGTTTAAGTTACCATAGGTTATGTGCTTCCATGTTACACTCCTCAATCTGAGCTGGTCATGTTTTAATTTGCTCTAACCACCAGGCCATGTCAGGCCAACAAGACTCCAATCATAATAAACCAGAAATATTTCTTATGTACACGAGGATACTGTTCTTTCTTTTTCAACATCTAATCACTAGTTCACTGTCTGCAAAGGCAAAAGTGACTGATAAGCTCTATAACACTTTCATCAACAGGACATTGATGTCTTTTAGACACAGTCAAAATGTGACCTCTCCATCCACATCTAGTATATCTACATTGATCAGAATGAAGTTTTTGTCAAAAAGTCCAAGTGATAGTTTCACTTAGAGCACCTAATATCTTTAAAGATCTGTCAGTGTTCTGGCCACTCCTGCATCAACCAGGAACTCTTATCTTTCACCTCTGTTCTTTAACAGATGTATACAAAGACCCACCTAAACCTGAGAGAGCTGGGCTGACAAATACACTTCTTTGGTGAAAGTTGTTTTTTGCATTGCCCTAATTCAGTAGTAAGGCCCAATGTGGGCTCCTCTAGTCTTT